CGTCTGGCTTCTGATAAGCTATCCGCCAAATCTGATAAATGCATATTTGTGGGTTACCCTAAGGAAACTAAAGGGTACTGGTTCTACAATTCATCCGAGAACAAAGTGTTTGTTGCTCGGAATGGATCTTTCTTGGAGAGAGAGTTCGTCTCCAAGAGAGTTAGTGGGAGTAGAATAGATCTCGAAGAAGTTTGAGAACCACAAATAGTCGAAGAACCAAGTGAACAGGTCGAAACAGTTCAACCTGTATCACAAGTTGTTGAGACAGCACCTCCTAGTGAACCTCGGAGATCTGGTAGAATTCGCCAAGAGCCCACAAGAGGTAGAATTCGCCAAGAGCCTACAAGATATGGTTTTCTTGTGACTGGAAACGACGAACTCATGTTGTTAGAACATGACGAGCCTACGTCGTATTCAGAGGCTGTGGCGAGTTCCGATTCCGAGAAATGGCACCAGGCCATGGAGTCTGAGATGCAATCCATGTACGACAACAAAGTGTGGACTTTGGTCGATTCATTCGATGGTATTAAAACCATTGGATGCAAGTGGGTTTTCAAGAAGAAAACCGACATGGATGGCATCGTGCATACCTATAAGGCACGACTCGTCGCGAAAGGGTTTCGGCAGATTCATGGTATAGACTATGATGAAACCTTTTCACCAGTTGTGATGCTTAAATCCATTCGGATTCTGCTGGCCATAGCTGCGTATTATGACTACGAGATATGGCAGATGGACGTCAAGACCGCATTCCTTAACGGGAATTTGCTCGAGGATGTGTACATGACACAACCCGAGGGTTTTGTCAATCCTAAGAGTCCGAGGAAGGTGTGCAAGCTTCAGAGATCCATTTATGGACTGAAGCAGGCTTCGAGGAGCTGGAATCTTCGATGTGACGAGGCAGTCAAAACGTTTGGCTTCCTGCAAAATGAAGATGGGCCATGCGTTTACAAGAAGGTTAGTGGGAGCGCAATAGTCTTCCTTGTGCTTTATGTAGATGATATATTGCTCATCGGAAATGATGTTCCTACCTTACAAGGAGTAAAATCCTGGCTAGGATCGGTCTTTTCGATGAAGGACTTAGGAGAAGCCGCCTATATTCTAGGAATCAAGATCTATAGAGATAGATCGAGAAGGCTTCTTGGTCTAAGTCAGAGTACATACATTGACAAGGTCTTGAATCGGTTCAAGATGCAAGACTCCAAGAGGGGTGCCTTGCCAATGGGACATCACGTGGCTCTTAGCAAGACGCATTGTCCAAAGACACAGGATGAGCAAGAGCGCATGAGTAGGATTCCATATGCCTCGGCAATTGGATCCATCATGTACGCCATGTTGTGTACTCG